AGCGTGAAAGGGAATAATCAGTTATGACACTTTCGAGCAGTGCTGTCTTCCCTTGTTTTATACGACTAATGTTCGCCTCCTTTCGCGGCTATAACTTCGTCCTAGAACTTAAAAGTTGCTAACAAATTTCAGCCCTTCTACATTGTCAAGTAACTTATGGTGTGATTTAGGAAAAATAATTAGATAGGTTAGGTTAATCACCCTGACCGGTGCAGTATACCAACAGCAGTACCTGCAGAGTTGATACCGTCAAAATACTCCGCCATAAGCTGTGCGCTTAGCTAACCCATCGCTGCCTCAAGCTCTATCTAGAATTTCGTCTTTTTAAGCTGGTTCTGAAATTCCATCCATTGTGCGTCTTCTTCGATTTACATTTTACGCCGTCAGCTAAGCTTATCTCAAATATGGTCAATTTCCTTAAGTCCATAAAACATTATTAAAAACCTACCCACTCTCAATTGGATGTTCTGCTGCTGTTTCTGAATATCCAGAAGAATAAGTAATTATTAAGCAAGTAATGTCCAATTTTTAGGTCAGAAGATCTTCCTCCCTGCGATCAACACTTTCGAATCCTACTGCATTTGAAGACGGGAAGTTATCCGAGGTTAGTTGATTTGGGATTATCTGGGCAGATGTGGTGTCCCAACAACAATTGACTCCACTGCTGGCATGAAAACTATCAATACGATACTATGATCAAAATGCTACAAAGATTAGCATAATACTTTCAGATAAGTAAGGTATTTACCTCGGGGATACAACTAGAATTTAGATCTAATTTCTAATTTTTCCTTTCATGGTCAGAGTGAATATACAATACAGTAAATCAAATTGGTTTATTGTATATTTTATTATAAAAAATAACCTAAATATCTTACTCAAATTTATTTTCACCTGGTTGAAATGTCGTGCAGATATAATTCCACTGAATTGGATAGTTCCAAAACCCCGCGTAAGCTCGCATAATTGTAGAAACTAGCGCACCAATTACCGTACATAAGCTGCTCCTGAATGGACCAGGAGCAGGACCGATGCAGGTCCTTCCACAGTCGTTCCCTGCACACTATTCTTACAGCTGTGCACTACGCCGAGGATTAGTCCTGCCACAACGAGCGTTGGTCTCACAGAGCTTTCAAAATGTGACTTATCGAAAGGAAATTAGGGTAATGCTTGAACATGTCACTTTTGAAGAATTTGGGCTCTTCGAAAAGCTCAATGAAGCAAACCATTCATAAAATAAGTAGTTTTTGGGAAAATTAAGCTATCCTTAGGTTAAGAAAACATGATGTCGAAGAATTCGGCAACAAAGAGTTACTTAAGAACTTGAATGACATGAATTAGAAGAAAAAATACAAATTGTCCAAACTATGTCAAAAGGTAAATTGTAATTTTTTTGCATTGCAAAATTGCCCAGTTCTAATTTTTTGCCATTCTTTCGCTAATTCTGTAAAAGTAAAATATTGAAAGAGTTTTTTTAATGAAGTAAAGCTCAATCTATATTTTTCTAACAACTTCTGCAGCACTCCAGCAATCATTGGGCATCTGGTAAAAAGAGTCAGCTATCTCTTAATTATGAAAACCGAAACCAGGAGGCCCATCCTCCTCATTATTAGGCTTAGACTAGTTCTACACCAATCATAAGGTTTCAAAATGCTTAGGCTTCCTAGTAAATTAGAAAATATCTAGTAACAACCTTACTTATTTTTGGCTATTACGTTTTTTCGAATGCAAAAGTTTCTCACAAAATAAAAAAGCCGTTGGAAGCATGTCAAGTGAAGACACAAGAACGCCTTCAAACCTAAATAGAAAACGAAATTTGCGGGGAAATGCTGTTGTTGCATTCACCCATTCATTAATGTTCCTACATCAACGCATTCTCCAATCACTTTGCGTTACTGCCCTCATGCATGTGACAGCTCCCCAAGTCCCTCCTGTTCCCCATACATCTTCGAAAAATGTCGGAAATCGCTATTTCATTGGATACTTTGAAGGTATCCGCTCTTTCACGCACATGCAGCATTTACAGTAACCAGACTCGATCACAGTGTAGCGATTATAGCAGGATGAATGGGTGAGTTGTCTTATAATAAAACTTTTCCTGCTTCCATTTGTCTATTTTTTTGTAGATGTAACCCCCGTATTGGAATGTGTCGAATACGGGTCGCATCTTGTGTAATAGGATTGGTCAGCGTAGGAATTTCGGTTGTTAGTGAGTTTTCCTTTTCTTTTCACACATTTTCCAAATCTTAAGCGAATTTTTAGCGATTTGCTGTTTACTCTATGTGTCGGGAAGTCTCTCAGAAGAAGTGCAGATTATAGTATCCGCTCCTATCTCTGGCCTAGTACTATTCCAAATCTTCACAGCTTTACTGCTTATTATTGGAGTGCTGATTGATACCCACTATCTACTTGTACCTTTTTTGCTAAACGCGGTAAACGGACTAATTTATTTTTTCTATCTTTTCATAAGAAAAGAGCAGCCTTTTTTTGTAAGTGTTTATATAATAAGCTAAATTGAGAAATTTAAGGTGGTGCACATTTGCATCGCTATCGGTATCGCCACAATGGTATTACTATCCTCAGGCGATGTGAAAAGATTGTATGGCCCTCATGTAAGTCTATGGATTTTTCATCCAATAATTTTTTAGAAACACTGTTCTTCCTATTCCTTAGATATTTCTTCGCAGCAGTTAGATTTTGATCAAATTTGTATACAGTTTGCGAATTTCATTCGC